TTCATACTGGACCATAACTCTACGGATTCCCTCACACTCTCATCCTCTGCCCCCCTCCCCCGCACTTTCCATCACCCCCTTCGCCCATTTCCACCCACTTTCCTCCCACGGTAGAACCCTAACCCAGTGCGGGTAAGCTCTTCGGAAACTTTATGGTTTCATGCTTGAGCGAGATACACACCAGGAAATCTTCAGTGAATTCGAGACGCCGACATTGTGATTCTCCTTGCGATCAATTGAATGCATTAAAACGTAGTGATTTCGGAAATAAACCACCGGGAGAGGCAATCGCGTGTGAAATTACTACAATTTTATGACATCCAGCAGTCATGATGCTATTCCAGCACTTTCGGCTATTTTTTCCCCTTCATTTCAATTCCAGTAATTGCCATCTGCTATATTGGGAGGATCGATTATTATTCAATAGTTAATTAAAAATTAAACTGTTCAATAATTCGGAATGATATATTTTTTACAAAATCGAATAATCATTCTTCTTGAAACAAATCCAATCATTAGTTCCGTTGAATTATCGAGTGATTCATGAATCCGAGTGAAATTGCTGGCATTCTGGCATCGTGATGTGCCACGTTCTTCAAGTTTCTGTTTCCCCCGTGGCGGAATGAATTAACTGTTGAAAACATTATTAGCAACAATTCATGCGTGCTGAATACTAATGATATCCCAATGGTATTCAATATTAGGGGCTCTAGTCAATTACTACTGCTTGGGTAAAGGATATTGCTGGAGGCTGTCCATGAGATGGTGTACTGAAGAGGGTATTACGCCTCAATCTCACGATTAATTCAGTCACAAGTCCATTCGTCAATCCTTAACACTCCCTTCAGGCTAGTGAGAAGGGAAATCGGTTATATCCAAGATAGATGAGAACAAGGGTACAAATTGCACCGAGTATTTACCCACAACTCCTTACATACATCCTCACCCAATTACACCACTTCTAATCATCACTTTTTAATTATCAGAAAAAAAAATCCCCAGATTTCCGCTCAGATGCATCAAATTATCGCAAATGTGGAAACTTAATTCCCAGGATACTGACACTTTCATGAAAATCCCACTGGGAGAATTTACCGCCAATGGCACTCGCCACAAATTCCGTGGAAAAACTCGAAAAAAAAAAATCGCCCACTTTTGGAAAACTGCCGAATTGCCCATTTTAACGGGTTCCCTCAAAAATGTCTGGCCACGAAGTCCCCCCTGTATTTCAAAACCCCCAATAACAGCTATCAAAGGGCAAAAAATCCAATTAAAAAAATACTCCCATTAATTCCATCCGCATATGAAACCGTAACAGTTTGCCTAAGATTAAAATATCGATTAAATCCTCTTTGAGCTGCCCGAGAATCGAAACAAAAACCAATATTCATTTCCATGTTAGAAATTAATCGAGCATAGCTCGCCGGGTAAATTGATACTAAACCCTTTTATTTTTCGGGCTGTCTCTGAACTCTCCCCAAAAGTTCTGCCATCATTTATTTTTGTGCTCCTGTCACTCCTAGAGAGCAAAGCGAGATCTCCCCAAATTTTCAATATTCATTCTAATTTTCGGTGTCCTACGCATTCACGTACGCAAAGTACATAACAAATATATAAAACCGCGTGTGTCGGCTGGGTTGAACTCAAAATGTGGTATGCATGATACCGACGATACCGTCGACGTATAAAACAGTCATGTACAAAATATAAAAAAATGAAAAAAAAAGGAGCCGCAACGGCAAAACGTTACGCTCGTCGAATATCAACGTCCACTCTCTCGTCATATACCTTTAAAACGCGTAACACGTCGCACGTAATAGATATTCTCTATCTAGAATGGGTAAATGGCCTTCTCACTTGGAGTTTTGAATCGCCTCACCATATTCCACCCTCAGCAACGATCCGCGAAAAGGGATTATCTACTTCATGCGTATTCTCATGCTGTATTGGGGGACAGTTTGTTAGATCCTCGAAAGGGATCCATTGATCCAACCACAATTCTCCATGCTATGAAGAGCAATACGTGAAACCATTCGAGGTACGTTAACAACCTCTCATCTCGACCACTCCAACGGGGGCTGGAGTGCCCTTTTCATGGACAACTGATGGAGGCTGTAAATGTCTTTGGTATTAATAGGCATCTGGGTTACACCGATGAAGGGCTGATCGTGGAGGGTGTGGGTTGTCCAGGGATTTTCACCGAGAAATCGCTGGCGAGTGCTTGAATCGATATTGGTCCCAAGGCAGCCGACGAAGGTCTTCTTGGAGTATCATTCTCTGTTATCTAAACTACTCTGTGTCGACGGCAAAAGCTACACTGGGGATTACCCGGTTGGCAAATGTGGCTTTCGAATTTTTGGAGGCACTATTTTTGTCGCTTCTTCATGTGATTTCGATGGTTCAGGGTTTTTCAGAAATGGAGGATCATTCTCACTGGGGTTTTTCGTTCACACGCGGAAGTATTTCACCTGTCAGTGGATTATACAGTGGAAATAATCCCTTTTTTTATTCTGCTTATTACATCGAATGAAAAAAAAGTGCATGAAGAATACATTTTTCAGTAAAATCAAAAGACGGTAATGGGAATTTTCTCTTCTACATTTCCATAACTCACTGTTCATTGACGTTTCAATTTTTATTTCCAATTAAAATAATTAATTCAATCGTATTTTACTCCTGACAGACTCTTGAGACTGTCAAAATGATTGAAATATTACAGCTGACGGCATCCGAACGAGCAGAGTCAGGGACGAGGACATGCACATTACCTTGTATAACGTAAATTCCATGAATTTATGGGTGGTATCATTTCTACAATTTTCTGGAGAATTTCTCTTTATTTCAAGTTTACGAATGCTTCATTCCAAAACTTTCCGAAATTTTCCGAAATTTCCCGCAATTTCCTCTCTTATTTTCCTTCAGAATTCGTTCTGCACATTGAAATCCCAAGCACCTATTGAATCGCAATTCCCCTCGGTATCCACCGTAAGTCCCCTCTCCCCCCTCCCCCCCTCATTACAAAAATTGATGCTCCACGTCGATATTAACGTCATAACGCTCGATGCGGGTAATGGCGACATAAAAAACTAATAATGCATAAGTGTTGGAAATAAAAAAGTAATTTTAATCGATTGGGTCCGCGCTATTAGTTGTATTATTCTGTCACGTTGGGGTGGGAGGAGGTGGGAGATTGCTCCGTCGGGACCACAAGGTTGGATTCGAAAGCTTTTGAAATCCAATTGTGGATGGAATCGCGGCGGTAATCGCCGGTAATTTCTCTCGAGAACTGGGGAAACGAGAGGCAGAGTGGAAGGAACAACGGGGTACGACTCAACGGGAGGAGTGAAGAGGGATGGTTGAGCGAGGGGCTGAGGGGTAGAAGTGGGGTAGAAAGGCCTCGTCCTCTTTTACCGAAAGTAAAGAGGAACGAGACTGTAAAAGAGGGAGAAAAAGGGAGGAAGGGGGAAAAAGGGGAGAGAGACTGGGTAAAGCTTGGTGGAAGGATTTTCGATTGCCTTTTAATTTTCTTTTTCCTCCTCAATTTTTTTTTCTTCTCTCCTTTTGCCTGGACTACTGGCGTCGACCTCTCGGGCACAGCGATAAGAAGGTTTCCCTTAACCGATTAAACGTTCCAACCTTTCTCCATTGGATGCGGTTCACTGGAAATGCGCACAGCAACTGCACCCGGAGAAAGAATTTTCTCGAGGGTCGTCGACGGATACCCGGATCACCTTCACCTATACGAGGAGTCGTATCATCATCGTAATTCTTCTGGTAATCCTGGAACATCTTCTGTGGCACTGTTGCTCACAATCATGAAATTCCAGCGGATCTAAGTCCTTGAAATATCGCGGGGGACTTGATGGGTCGCGGAAAGGGAGCGTCTAATTAATGGGGAGGGAGCTCTTCCCGGGGGAATCGACTTTTTCCTTCAGTCCATTGATTAAAACTCTCTTGATTATTTTTTTTTTTTTTTGGACTTCAAGTGTATTGCGTTTCACCGGATGCAAACTCTCGCCGCGGGGGACTTTAATGAATTCCTCGCGCCCTGAGAATCATTCGCGCAAGTTCTTACGGCGGATATTAAGAAAATTTGGTTACTAGAAGGAAGATTTCTGTTTGGAGGATCAATTCTTCTGAATCAATATTATTTCATGATATTTCGCCGAATTTTTATTTGTAATTTTGAATTGAATCCATCAGTCAAAAATCCGAGAGGAAATTGTAATTTTGAGTGAATTTTACAAACAACATTTCCGAATTGGCGAGAAATTACCAAGCTGATATGATCCCTCCCCCAATAATCCCCCGAATCACTGAAAAATTGAATATATAATCTGTTACTTCCACCGATACCAATCTACCGTGTCACCATTAAATCGAAAACACTTATAGCGGAATATTGCCTCCTGGCATTTTTCCAGGCTCGTTGTTATCACTCCCTCAAATCAACGAATTATCTATCCCCTCCATGCTGAACCACATTACCAATTCAACTCTATCCCACACGTACATCACCAATACTCTACCCATTACGATAGAAACCCGACACAGACGCTGAAATATACCGATCGTACATCGAATTCATTTCGCGTGTTCACTCGGATTATTCGACATTGGAAATTTCGTTATCACCAGCGTCGATCGAATCGACAAATTGTCGATGAAGGGAGTGGAAAGAGGGAGGGATAGTGCCTCGGAGGGTTCGATCGCAAAATTATCGAAATTTGCAGTGTGCTCGCGTTTTCCGCTGGTATATACTTTACGTGCCGATTGAATTTTCACTGGTAAAGTCTACCACGCACACTGTACCCCCTAAACCCCCACAACCTCCCCCTTCACCCCCAAATGCATTCAATACCTGACGGAGATTTTTCACTCCCCCTTGCATCCCCTCTCTAGCGAACTCTTTGCAGCGATCAACACACCTGAAAATTAATCGATTAGTTGAATTGAAACGATAATAACAAGAAAATAAATGATAATTACAGGGCGTAACTATGGGTAGGCAGCAAACAATGTGAAATACAATGCGAATATGTAACATGATATATCACTTGTGTGAATATTACACTGGCTACTGCGGCCAATTCAATCCCCAATGGCAAATCACAACGACAAATAGTGTCTCCTCATTTGCGCGTAATACTAGTCTAGGTATGCAAAATATTAATATGAGGACATTGGTGGATGAATAGCTGTTTGCGGGGGATAATTGAATCAGGGATAATTACTCATTACGTAATTTGATGGAGGATTGTAATGCGTCGGTGACCACTCGGTCGGATTCTATTGTCGGGGACGAATCATTTGTCATGTAATCTTTAAAACAGAATTGATGAAGGGTGTAATGCTGTAATGCAATTTTCCTTTTTGTCAAAAAAAATTGACGATTGCGGGGAATTCGGAAAAAAATTCACCTTCATTCTCAACCATTCGTTTTTTTTTTTTTTCAAACGAAAATATGCATAATAAAATGGTCCTGGAATGCCAGATCAAAGCAACGAATTGACTACTGAAGATTTTATTGTGACCATTAACGCATATATAAGCCCCATAGTGAGACTGTAATAAAAGCGCTACTGAAATGACTCGTGGAAGTCATGCATCCATTGCCCTCTCTCACCGGTTTTCTTGGAGGATCACGCGTTTACTGGAAATGGATTTCCAATCGTAAAAGCAAATCATAAAATCGTGATGGTCTCAGAAGTGAGAGCTAATATCGGCTGATCGTAAATATTGATTGATCGTTCCGGTATATCGATTTTGACAATCCCCACGTTCTGCCTGTTTTATTATTCAGAAGAATTCCATTGTTAATCATGCGTATGAATTTCATCAATTGCAAATAACTCCATTGTCGTTTTATCTCTTGCAATAGAGACATATCGCGTCCTCCATTTCACCGATGAATACTTGAATTTCTCGATTAAAAATCGAAGAATATTTCAATTATTTGAATGATGCAAAATTTGAAGAAATAAAATAGAATAAAATAGGATAATAAAAAATGAATAAATTGATGTATATATAGAAGTTTCTGACTCTTGGGATAGGCAACAAATAATCAAGTGAAATAATTGATTGTGAACTATTTGATATGAGAATGAATTTTTTTTTCCAGTGAAATACCTGAGGGAAGTGACACCGTACTTCAGGAAGGCGTCAATCATCCAAGAGGTCGGGTGGGAGTTGCAGAGAGGTTTTTTAAGTGCCACACCACCCCCTCCAAAGTCACCCCCAAGAGCGGACACTCGTTATCTACCCCTTCAGCTATGTAGACTCACGAGAGCTCACCCTTCCTCAGATCCGGGTGAGTAATAGTTATCATTTACATTCACCAGGCACAATTAAATCCCCGAATGCCTCCACCTCCACAATTTCCCGTGAAAAATCCGAGAACTCATTCCAGAAAAATCTGGACAAACTCGTTAATGACGAAAGAAACGTGAAGATTCAATTCGCTGAATCGCCGAGTCAATTTGGTGAAGTTTAGCTCAGTAAATGAGTCAGTTTTCATTGAATTTTTTTAAATTCACCTAGGGCTCTTAATTCCCCACAGTTTTCTCTCCCGTCGCGCTTGAACAAAGGGGGGAAAAAAACGCGAGTCAAGAGAAGTGTGTACTCTACGTAGACTCAAGAAATGAGAAGTAAGAGGGAGTGGAAGCTATGGGGTAAGAAAAGCAATCAGAAACGTGCTGTATCTACTACTTGTATCTACGGTCCTCTAAAAAGTCCTCGCGGGCAACTCAGTTCCACGTTCATCGTCCCCATAAGATGTCTGCATGTGCGTTTGCATAGTAAAATTCTTAAAACGGATATTCTATCGTCAAAGTCCCTCATTTTTATCATTTTATGAAATAGAATCCTTCCATTATCTCCCATTTTTCCCTTCAAATCATGAAGAATCATGTGGGATTGATTAATCTCAATAATCTCAACTGGACAATCAGTGAATGAGGGAATACGTTATGAAGGAACTGGTTTCATTCTAGGACCCATTAATTTCGTCAAGTTTATGTACAAATTGGTGAGCCCCTCCCGCGGTTGTATCACCGCTGAGGGGGGAAATTCCCGCACTAATATAGTGTCACAATGAGCGTGTATCACCCAGCGTAAACATATGAATTTCGTTATCGTTGCAATCACATGGGTAATCGTATAGTACCAGTAATATAAGGCTAACTAGGTTGTTATCGTTCCAACATCGCTGCGGTCATGATTAACGAACAAAGATAATTGCATTTGCCCGATGCTCGAGCATTGGCATATGGTATTTCTGTAACAAATCAATTGTACTCATCATCATACGGTATTTCTGTTAATCCTACATGAAATTCTTCAGCTACACTATCAATCTCGGTTCAATTAATTCTCTCATTGAATTTTCAACTTAATTTATCATTGAAGTAGAGAATTTAAAAACTATTGATTTAATTATTCATCTGTGATGAATTTTCGAAATTCCAAAATCTCATTTTCTAATCTCGTCTAAGGGGAGCCCTTGATGAAAAAATGACTGAACACTGGGAAAAACCCTCTCTCGCGTCATGAATCTTTCATTCGAAAGATGAAGTTCACTATTATTGAACAGGCAACTCTTGAAAAAATGTCCTCCATATTTATAAATAATTTCTAATACAGTTCCATCGAGATTTTCCCCTGCGGCTCCCTGTGGAGGAATTCTACCACAAAGAGCAAGACGCCATCCAATTGATTATTAACAGAGTCTGAAACTTTCGCGTTTCACCAGAAGGAAGAAATCGACATTTCAATGCCTCTCAAGTCTCAACATCTTGTGGCGCACCTATAAATCTGTAATTCCTTGTATCACCATTGAAACGACTATTTATGCATCGCGAAATGCCGCCAAGCCCCAGGTGTAATTGAATTTCGTTAATGAGAGTCGTTGGAACTTTAGTCCTTGCGACTGAGGCTGATTCCCACTGGTAAATGTTGGCACTAGGGTATTCTCGCGCTGTCTCCGCTAGAATTTCTCTACGAGTCACTGGGGATGCAAGTCACCATTTGACATTTCACATTCAAAGCCTGTCAGCACCATGACACATCTTGCTCTATCGATTACCCCTACCTTTATCTTCAATTCATATCTATTTCAATTGTATTCAAATACTTGAAGACTAATCGAATATAATCCTCAAAGCACCTAGAGAATTGTCATTATTTTCGTAAATGGTCAATAATTTTTCGCTATACGAGAAGTTCTGATTATTTTCCATGAAATGTTCCTGGAATTGTTGCAAATGAATTCTCGGGATCACCGAGTTGATGATTAATTCATTCGGAACTCTAGATTGACATTAAACTTCGTTGAACAGTTGAGGATGACAGGGGGTGCATCGGTAGTCAGCCTGAATTGACACTCATTCTGTTGCCCTAGGACTCACTAATGCTGGTAAACTCAGTTGACTGGTCATTCGATCGTTCGACCGTAACGATCGCAACTCTCCCCCATCCCTTCACTATATATCCACTGTACCATCTGAAATGTAATCTAAAGTCGAATGACTATTCAGAAGTTACTGTTAATTAAACGTTAAGTGGAAAACTAAAGTAAAGGCCGAGTACCCAACTTTTTTCTCTTTACAAAACTTGTCACTCCGGCGCTCGAATACGAGGTAAACTATTAAATCTTCCCTCATTTTCCCCACTCAATTCATTATGGCTGAGTATTGTATCTCATTAATTTACATTTGCATTACTTTTTCAAAAATAATTCTGGATTTGATAGATTCAGAACTGAAAGCAATCCCAATCTCTCACTTTTTATAATTCAACTTTGAAATTGAAGATAATGGAATAAATTACAGAACACAGTGAATCATAAATTTCGACATTGACTCCCAATTCTGCCCTTGCTTCACTGATTATACCGTTCATGTAAACAGTTTTACGACTCAATTTGTAACGAACCCCGAGCATGTGGGTTCACAGACAGACGAGGAGGTTGCATTACATTCCAGACTTTATGATCTAGAATTCAATTCGTAATCGGGTATATGTCCATGATCACTCAGTATCCAGCATCTCACCAATATTTCATAAGTCTGAAAATCAGGAAATGCCCTGTGAATCGGGCATACTCTAATCGCTTTGAAAATCTAGCACGTGAAAAATGAGGAAGCAGATGTAGTTTTTTTTAATATAGGGGAAGTTGAAGTGAATTTTTACATGAGTTGAAGACTCCAAAAAAATAAATCGAAAAAATTGTTGGGAAATTTTCGGCCCTTGTAATCCGTATACACAGGATCCTCACAAACTCCCGCCCAGTTAGACCTAACACTAACTAGTTAGTAGTTAGCCAGACAATTCGAAATTTGAAACTGGCGGAGGCGATGGGCAGAGAATGCCGAGTGCGAGGAGGGTCTGAGAAGGGCAGCAGTAACTCCTGATTCACTGAAAATTTCACCAGCGCTTCTGTTCCATTATCCGGGGCCATCTCATCCCCATCTTCCCCATCTTCCCCATCTTCCCCATCTTCCCCGTCGGTCTGCCTATCGACGTTTCCTCTTGGCAAACCCAATTATTGTTTCAACGTTAAAATCTTCATGATACAATGCTCACCAAGCTGGACTACACCGGAGTCCAACAGAACCGAGGAGAACACCAGTGAGAAAACAAAATAAGAGAGCGAACCAACGGGGAGAGGAAACGGGGAGGGAGAAAGTGAGAAAAGTGGCAGAACAACAAAGTTCCCACGAATTCATTCTCGCTCTGGTGCCTGGTGAAATTCATGAAAACTTTTCGAACGTTTCTCGTTGTCGCCTAACGTCCTGTCGTTTCACTGAACTTGGACACTTGCTGGTTGGACTGGTGTGAGAATAAAAAAGATAAAAAATAGAGCCAGAACTACGAGATACAGTAATAGATTCAATTGTTTCATCCAGGGGGTTTCTATCACCTGGAAAATGGGATTTAACTGTCACAGTTGGGAAAATGTGGATAATATTCACGAATGTGTGTCCCAGAGTTTTGAAAAATTTTACCTCTTTTGGTTATTCTACTGAGTCACCACTTGGTCCAGCTCTATGCATCATCTTGAGTGTGTGGTGCATGTATCTCAAATTCATGGGCTGTTGCTAACACCTTTTGCACCAGGACAATGTGGAGGACAGGCGGGTACCAACGGTTAACAAAAGGACTACTCGGCGGGCGTAAAGCGGAAACTTCAATGGTTATTAAACGCGATACATGGAGCGGTTGGGTGGATGGAACCAGAACCAACGTGAGTGGAACGGTGGTTGAGGGGAACCAAAAGAATATCTTTACCGTCGCTCGCTTCAACAATACATCTCTCTCCCTTGTACCCATGAGATCGACCGTCCGTGCTTTTAGCCCTCGTAACGGTGTAAGTGGTGTCTAGCCACTATTGTTCGGGAATTCATTATCCCTGCCAGTCCAGTGTTTTGTACCGTTAAGTGTTGGAAAACATGAATTCGGTGGGGGAATTGATATTCGGGGAATTCCACTGAAATTCCACTGGATTTTACCAATCTACGGAATTAACTCTCGCTTAATATGCCTCCAGCATTTGGAGGATTCCTCAATCATTCATTGAATTCCAATACAATTTACTAATAATATTGATTTTCAGTTGCGCTCTGTATTTTTCGTATATCTGAAAACTCATTATCTCATGACATTTGCAAGTTCCAAATATGTTTAAAAATGCTCTCTTTAGGATTATATCTTTTCACCAGAAAGTGCCTTAGAAATACTGGTACATACCGAAGGCCCTCTGTCCCTTTGATGATTTTTCACTCTAGATACGATTTTAAAGGTTTTCAAACGCCAAGTATACAGATGAAATCTACCCAATTTGCAAGATAATTCCATGTGTGTAAGGACCAGGGGGATGCGGGTGTGACACACTCCCCCAGATATTTTTTCCCTGGAAAAAAAAATGCCAAGGGCCAAGAATAATGAGGAATGGAGGCCAGCCAGGGAAAGTGGGTTGTCCCTGAGTATCCGTAACTTCTACGCAGTTTCTTGCTGCCCTATCGCATTCAGTAATTGTATTTTCCGGGGTTAAAACTCGGAAACCCACAGAGGGCCTACCAACTGACAAGATAAAACGTTTAGAGTCACTGGAAAACCTCTTGTTTTCGCTGAGTCCGGAGCTTCACTCTTTTCCATTTAACCACCTCACAACACTCGCAATTCTTTTACTTTTATTCCCCTATTTCCTTGAGTTTTCTTCTATTTTCATAGCAGCGAGTTCTTCTACTCCACTATTACCTGTTTGTCGCTCTCTTCAGTAGTTTGCCTCCGGTTAACTTTTCCTCGGCCTCA